ATATAATTTTTTGTATAATAATAACTCATCACAAAATTGATAAACAAAATTTTTATTCAATATTGGTTTCGCTTTGTATTCAGTTGTCACAAGCCGTTTCAGTCCATTTCATCATCTGGCTTAAAAAAGAAAAGTGTTTTTACTGCCCTCTTGTGGTCATAATGTGTAACTGCAATTTCAGTAAAGCGGAATTCAATGCAACTATATACTGTTTCCGGTCATGCTTTTCAAAGTAAAACATTTAAACTGACTCGTAGCAACAGTACGTCTGGAATATGCTTTTATCGTAAAATTTGAAATAAAAACGCAGTAAAGAACAACATCAGAATTAATTAACTGGGTAAAAATGGAGTAAAAACATTTTGTGAGGTGATTCTGTGTTTCACTGAAGGAACTCTCAGCTGTTGTTTTCCTGCGGCTTCCTTAACCCCAGTAGGTGGCAGTACTGTGTTGAGTTTGGACACAAAGAAGAAGAGCGTTACCGGAAGTTACCCTCGTGTCTGCGTTATATCTGCGCGGACACGGTCAATAAAACCGATTAAAACTCTTCGCGTTAAAAATCAACTTCACCAAACAAGTAAGTTGGATTTTAAACGTGAGTGTTGTGTTTAAATGAATGTCTCTGATGTTTGTCACGCGATATAAATGTTTATTTTAGCGGATGTTTAGGTTAGCTTGTTGCTAACAGATTAGCGCTGTTTAAGATCCACGCAAACCTAAAAGTTTGATGATTTATAATTTTGTTTCTGGCCGAATATATTGTATTGTGTCAACTTCATTTTTATTTGACAATAACTGTGTTTTAGTTTAAATAATGAAGAAACTTAAGGGTATAAACATAAATATAAGCGGCTTTGTGTTGTGTGAACTTATAAACATTTAAATTTAAGGGATGAACCCCTAGTTTCTCCTCATATCATTTATTTAGTATATTTAGCTGTTTCTTTTTTTACTGGCAGCTTGTTTTTCTGACACCTTTAGTTTCTGAAAATGCCAAAAAGAACAATTTGATGTGTACAGTTTATGAATATTACAGGCTTGTTCTCCCTGATGAACTGTAGGGATGTGGTTAAATGTTTAATCCTTCACCAATATTAAATCTGACAGCAGATTCCAAAGGAACATTTCAAACCAAACAAAATAACACCTAAATCCTGTGATTATCTGCAGTCTGAGGGAAGTTATTGATGTTTGTTCAGGTGAAATCAGCTCATGTTTTCTTGCTGCAGTTCACAGCAGAACCAATGGGATCATTTCACCTTATTGTTTTCTGTTTTTCATCATAACTTCAGTGTTCAAGATGTCACCATGAAATTATAGGAAAAGATTCACATTCTGGTTTTTGTTGGAAGCATCTTGTATCTTGAACACTAATTAAACTTAATAATAACCAATGCAAAAGTAGCAGAAATGGTATAAAATAATATTACAGGACAAACTGTAGCATCCAATTACCGTAATG